AAAAGAATAACTATCTCCAAATAACACGACGGATTAATTAAGACTAGATATTCAAGAAAAATATGTAACAATATTATTTACGTATCATTTGCAATGATTTATTCGCCGCTTTTACCTGCTGACGATCTGAGCATTCAGGAAAGGGATGAATTAACATCTAACCCGAAAAATATGCGAATTTCTGACAAAGAATCGACTAACTGGACATCTGTCCTATAGAATTATGTTTCAAAAGATACACAACTGGTGTCTCAGCAAATGCACACGGTTGCTCGATCAATGCAACTGGCAATGCCAGATGTTCAAGTGCTTTTCTTACTCTCTACATGAGAATCCATTTTTTAAGGCATATTCTTGATCTTTTGATATATTGATGGTAGAGATTTGCTTCACACTAGTTTCTTTACTGTAATTGTAACAACACTTAAGGGAGTTAGTCACGCTGTGGAAATCAACGAAAGTTCCTCGAAAAAACCCAAAAGCAATCGACGTGATCGGATATGTACTCAATAAGTTTTTGTACAGATCGACTGGGATATTCATCAATGGATTTACAGTTCTGATACACCGTCATTTTTTTACCAATCGTTTAATACTGCATTTTACCTGATGTGATAATTTACAGAAATCAGATTCAAGAGTGTAAGTGTCAGCAAAAAGGAGATCCACACCGCCGCGTCTTGTTTTAAGTTAACTTTTGGGTATTCTCGATTAAGACAAACTCTTCTGTTTACCATGATAAGAAAAAAAACCAAGTGTGTAGACCTGATCAGAGAAAGGGTAGGATACTGTCGAATATCGGAGACAGCAGGAGGACTATGAAATCATTTTGTCGTCGAAAGGTGTGGGTATGGGTGTGGGTGGGTGTGAATGTGGGTGTGGATGGGTATGGGTGTGTGGGTGTGGGTGTAAATGAAGGGAAGATTACTATCCATCGTCACACTCTTTCACACCCACACCCATAGCTCCTCATAGCAGGGTGTGGGTGTGGGGTGTGGGGCGTGGGTGTGAGTATGGGTGGTGGTGGGTGTGGGGCGTGGGTGTGGGTATGGGTGGTGGTGGGTGTGGGTGGGTGTGGGTGTGGGGATGTGGATCTTCTGTACACTCATAAACACACACCCACACCCACACCCACCCACATGTACACCCCACACCCACACC